AACATTAACAGTCTGAATAGAAAAAACCCATGATCATCTCAGTAGGTGCAGAAAAAGAATGCGACAAATTCCAACATCTAATTCAATAAAAACCTAGAAAACTAGGACTAGAAGGGAACATCCTCAACTTGATAGAGGGCATCTATGATCAACTACAAAACTGTAATTATTTAAACTGTGCTTTAAATTTGTCTGCAAATGTTTGTAGGAGCTTTATTTTCTAGTAGCCAAAAAAAGGAAACAACCCAAATGTACATTATCATACTTAATGGTGAAAGACTAAAAGATTTCCCCTATGTGTTGGGTACTCATATGCAGAAAGACAAGTCCAAGCAAACTTTGATCCATGCCTTGCACCATACATAAAAATTAACAAAAGTTGATTATAAATCTAAATGTAAAACCTAAATGAAATATCTAAAATTAAAGATTGACCATCCCAAGATGGTCAATTGTACAAGAATATTCACAACAGCTTTATAACTATTATAGAAACCCGGTGCACTGATTCCTGTACTGGTGGGGTCCCTCGATTTGGCCTGTGGAGATTGGGCCAAAACTGGCTCTCTGATGTCTCCCGAGGAGTCCCAGATTGTGAGAGGGTGGTTCTTGGGTGATGCACTCTGGAATTGGGCTCCCTCCTCTCTGGTTCCAGGTGTGTCACCGGAGAACCACTGCAGCTCAGCAGCTCCTGCATTGAGCAGCTGTCCCCTGGTCATTATTGCACATCATAGCTACTGGCCAGTTGGCAGGTTGTGTAGGCTTTCATATATATATATATATATATATATATATATATATATATATATATATATATATATGTGTGTGTGTGTGTGTGTGTGTGTGTGTGTGTGTGTGTGTGTATACACACACACACACACACATACACACACACACACAAATACACATACATACATAGTATTGTTGTTTTTTCAAGTAGAAACAGCCCGAGTGCCCATCAACAGGAAAATGGAAAAAACAAATGGTGATATATTTATGCAAAAGAATACTCAGCAATAAAAAGAATGAACCACTGACACATGCAACTTTAATCTCAAAAACACGCTGAGTGAAAGAGGCATTATGCTTTGCATGGTATAATTTATGTAAAATATTAGAACAGGCAAATTTAACCTATGAGGCAAAATAATCAGAACAGTAGTTACACCTGCTAGGATGTGGAATGGATTGACTGGAAGGGGCCAGGAGGAAACTTCCTGGGATGACTGCAATGTTCTGAATTTTGTAAAAGGTTTGGATTACACAGGTGTATGCACTTGCAAAAACTCAGCAAATTTATACTTAACATTTGTGTATTTCATTGCATGTAAGTATACATAAAAAATTTTTAAAAAACTAAAAACAATATTAAATCTATTTAATGACATGCATGTTGAATAATTAGGGAAAAGTATACCAATGTCTACAATTTATTTTGAAATGAATCATAAAAGTAGCATGAATAGATATGTAATAAAACAATGTAGAGTGAAAGGTTGGTATTTGGATATTTACCATAAAATCCGGTCAACTTTGTGTTATGTTTGAAAATCCTATCTAATAAAGAGGGAATATGCTAATTGGCCATCACTGCATTACAAAGATGGCTGCACCCTCAGCTGAGGCCAAGTTCCTATAAGGAGCCCTAAGGAGCAAGGAGCAATCAGCAGGGACCTGAGATTAACACACACACACACACACACACACACACACACACCCCGCGACACTTGACAGGGGATCTCAGGCGGAGCCCTCCACCCAGCGAGGCTTGATGGGGGACCTCAAGGTGCGCTTCCCATCCTGGTACTAGGCTAGGGGACTTCAGGCTGCTCCCCCTGCCCCAGCACCAGGAAGCCAAGTTACATTCAGAGTAATTACTAATACTGGTGTTTATTAACACCAAGACAGGATGAGAATACCATTTGTTGCACCTTTTAAAAAATGACTTTTAATCATTGAAGGAAAAATCATCTCCAATGTCATTCTACTTGTGAGCAAGCCAACTGCACCTCAGCCAAACTCTGTCCATTCAATCATCATTAAAAAACCAAACACTTCTTTTAAAAAAAAACATTTTATTGATTTTTTTACAGAGGAAGAGAGAGGGATAGAGAATTAGAAATATAGATGAGAGAGAATCATTCATTAGCTGCCTCTTGCACACCCCTCACTGGGGATGTGCCCGCAACCAAGGTATATGCTGTTGACTGGAATCAAACCTGGGACCTTTCAGTCCGCAGGCCAAACTGGTTAGGGCAGAATTACACCTATCAGCTTAATATCTGGACTTGCTGAAAGGAGCTCCTGTTTCCCCCAGTCTTGAATTAAACACCCAGGAATGTCACCCATTATGTTTTATGCTGGGCACTAGCACCTATGTAGGCAGGCACACAGTGACCGTCTCTAACACATTAAGGTAGAGAGGAGGGTTAAGGTGAGGCAGGAGGCTATTAACCACAGCTTCCCTTCACTCCCAGAGAATAGCAGACTCACAGCTGGCAGGTGGCAGAATGAGCAACTGTGCAACCCTGCAGGGAGCTGGGAAGCCTCTACTTTTTGGGGAAGCTTGCTATATTATCTCCAGGCATGTGTGTGATCTGTAAATTTCCATATTCTTTGCTATCTTGTGTACCTTTTGCCATCGTTTTATCAACCGTCCCGTTAACCATCATGCAGCCCACATTTCCACACAATGTTGTAAGTGCCTAAAACTAAGCAGTAGCAGCTTGTCCTTGTCCTTTCGATTGGGGCACAGCCCTCCTGCTTGCTACATGGCCCACAATTCCCTACTGTCTTCCAAGGAGGTGCATTTCCTGCCTGGCCCATGTGGCACCTGGGTCTTGGTCTAGTTTGATTTGGGTAGTGGTGAGACAGTAGGAGTTTCTTAGTAGTCAGTTCAGATCTAGACTAGAAGCATACCCACACACACCAAAAATAGGATGGCAGTACCATTTTTTGTACTCTTTTAAAAAATGGCAGGAATCTCGTTTGTCGGATGCCTTTATGAGTAGATGGAATCCTTGCTAGCATTTTATCAAAAGAAGGCAATAACTTAGAGGAGGAGGAGAAACTCAACAAACCTCTTTTGGAAAAAAATCTGACAGGATTCAAATCTTAGGACATCCTTTTCTGACACTTCTGGAAACAAAGATTAGGTTTTGTAATGATATCTCCTTTGAAACCCACACAGCACCGATTTCTTTATTTTCTCTGGTATTTCTAATCTATTCCCCCTTTTCCAGATTTAAATGAACTGGGCAGGGCCATTTACCTAGTGTCTATCGATAATTAGAAGTTTGGGGCTATCTCCAGCACATGGCAGCTATTCAACCACTTTGTAATCAGATCAAGTCTCTAAAATGCTCTGAAAGCTTCAAATATTAAATAGTACTATTAAATGTGCATAAAATGAGAATGAATTTTTCAATTAATGGATATAAAAGTATTCACATTTAATATATGAAGATAGTTTTATCATCTTGCTCATGAGGTAATCACTTCTGCTTTCCCAAATGGTTGTAATACATAGGATAATATTCAGAAAGATTATATTTTTAGCTCACATATAAGTATTTTCCCTTATTCTAAAATGTTACTAATCTTCTTTTCTGTTGCACAAAAGACAGTTTTATGTTTATTCCCTTTACTGCTTTTAAATTTATGGACTCTGCTACTAATTACATGACTTTCAGAATAGCTAATACTTCTCTCTCTTCAACCCTGTTGATTATAATAAGCTTGAAATCTTTCTGCAACCTTCAAGGGCAGAACAGGGCAGAATTTACATCATTCTTAACATGGGATCAAGCTAAAACTGAAGAAATTTTATGTAAACCATCCAAGCTAAAATTCCTTATTTTAACCTTCATAGGAATCTGCAATGATTTTTACTATTATATTTTCTCCACCCACTCCTTTTTTACTAGTTATTTTTTCTTTTTGAGGATGAATCAGAGAAATGTATGAAACATGCGCAGTGCAAGCAACTGGATTTCTCAGACAGGAAGCACAAAAAAGTACTTTCTCTTTTTACTTAGGTTGCATTTATTTAACATTCTAAAGAATTATTATCTGATTTCAAGGATCATATTTAGATCAATTTTAACATATAAGAAAAAAAACTCATTTCACAAGCAAGATAAAACCAAAAGTTTTTTTCTATCTAATCAGTTAGTTCCCAAGCTACTCCTAGAACCATCTACTCTTCTATAGAGAGCAAAACTGGTACGAACCAGAATAACTTCACCCTACTGTAGTGCCCAAACAAAACTGGAGAACATACCAATTAGACCGAATGGTGAAATTAAGAGCTAACAGGCTACATATTAGAAAAAAATTCACTTAAAGTTTGCTTGGAATCTTTTTACATTAGTCTATGATAGAAACACAAAGAGAACATCAAGCTATGAGAATGAAACAATAGAAGAAAAAATAATTAGTACAAATACAAAATACAGATACATATGTAAGATTTTCTTTTTAACTATAATGATACATCTTTGGTTCAAAAGTATGATTTCACATTACAGATCACATTTCTCATCCTCAAGCAAAGTATGGTACAGAGGACACAGGATTTCTTTATCTTTTATATCTTTCTTTTTGTCTTTCATTCTAGTATTACCAACCAAAATTCTATACTACCCTTTAAGAGCTATGTAAAACACCTCCTCACCAATGACCTTCTCCCCAATGATTAAAATTAAGCTGTTCTCAACATTTTATATTTTCATCACCACTTAGCTAAAATCTCTAAAATGCTAGACCTCTTGGGAGAACATGCTAAAAATCCCTTACATAAAATGAAGTTCTCACCTCCTTATATGGCAAGACTTTATAGAGAAGTCACAGCCATCTGGAGTTAATACAAGATCTTTTCTGGAAAATACTGGAGAACTTGCTATGCAAATAAAAAGGAGGACTGGGCACAGTTGTTGGGGTGTTTGGCTAAAAGTCTCTTAAGTTACATCTCAAAATTAAAAAATTTCTCACTCTTTTTCTCAGCTGCTGTTTGTGGCTTCTTCTTCTTCCCCAGGGTCACACACCATCTGGTAAACATAGCAGCTGAAGACCCGGCTGGGTTTCTGTTCTATGTGGAGGACCAGGTCTCTGTCAAAGTAGACTTCGTGGCTGTACGTCTGCAATGAAAGCACGATCAAATGCAATCTCCTCTTCACTGTTTAGAATAGTCCCTAAAATGTCACAGCACCTATACCAAATACACCCTTGAAGGCAAAATAGCTGCCAGAAAAGGTTTATTTTTTTATTATTTGTGGATATGCAGATTACTTACAAGAAAAGCAGGACACAAAATGCTAAGAGTGAAAAGAGCCCTGACCTTAGGAATCTAAACACCCAGATTTTATTGCCAACACTGCAACTATTGCACCATGCCCTGGTGGGCAAATTGCTAAACCTCTCAGGTTCTCCACTGATAAAACAAGAATTGGATAAAACATTTCTTATAACTTTTATATTCTATAATACTCAGAAGAGTAGACAAATGCTTCTAAGAGTGCCCAGAAACACTACATTCTTAGACATGGTCTCTATTAAATAACTGTGGGGATTCAATATAGAAAATTTTTATTTTTAAAAATATTAACAAACTTTTCAAATGAGAGAAAACCAAGGACTATGATAAGGAAATAGACAACATGTCTCAGGAAAAACAAAGTGTTTTTTTTTGTTTTGTTTTGGTTTGTGTTTTTTTTTAGGAAAAACAAAGTTTTATCTTTAAGGCTACTGGTAAGGTGACATCCTCTACTTCCTAGGGGAGGAAGTCTTAAGAAGTACTCATTTTGTCTTACATGCAGTCCAGTAACCTCTTTCATGTGGTCATTGGTCTAGGTGAACTTGGACTGACACAGAATAGAAACATCTGTTTCAATACATGCCACCTATAAAGGGAACCCTTACAACTTTGTACTCCATGAACTCTACTCACCACATCCCATGACTCCACCAGTGGAATGCTTTTAAGTAAAGTTCCATATTCATTACAGTGGAAATCCAGGTGAGCTTTTCCTTCGGCATCTATTTGAGTAACAGCTACCACAGAAAGCAAATCCAATTCATCTTCATAGTCCACAATTTTGAAAGTCTTGGGCAATAGACAGATAAGGCAAAGGAAAAGAAGGATAAATCTAGTTATCCAGTTAGAATTATCTCTACATTTGTAGTTTAACTATTCTACTACTTGTGAAAATATGTAGGAAAAAAATGAGTAGGTGGGAACATAGGGAGGAACATGTCTCTCTACTTATATGCCTAGTAAAACACCAGTTTCAAGATTTTCAAAACTTAAACAGTATCCCACAGATTTTGACAAACAGAACCAAGTCTATGTACGTCTCAGCCAAACTATAACTGAAATTCTCTATTATGAGCAAACCAGAGCTGCTCCAAATTCAAAAGAGTCAACCACTGTCTCCGACATATGTTCACTGGTTCCCAGAAACAACTAGTAGTAAATATATAGAGCCCAGGTCTGAAACCTGATGACCGCCCACTGTGCTCGGAAGGTTCTTACAACAGAAAAAACAAGTCATTTCAAGAAGAACTGATAGCTCATCATATACTATTCAGGATTCTACTTATCACACTTTTTTTTTTTTTTTAAATCTTTCTTGGTTCCTTAAAGCAAGCAAGCAAGCAAACAAACAAAATTGCTGTTTAAACTTGAGGAAGGATATTTAGAAATGAAATCAAACCCACAAAACAGGAGTTAGGTAAGAGATACGGGTTAGATTAAAGATGGTGAAGACTCGTGGGAGGAAAACCTAACTCCAGAACCCAGGGAGGAAAACCGGGACTCCCACAGCCTCGCAGGGAAGCAGACCCAGGCCCCGCCATCAGGGATGGCCCAGAGAGAGATGTCTGGGCAGGCACACAGATTTCTCTTAATCACCACATGTAGATCCTCCACTTACATTTGATCAAACGTCTTGCTAACCCATTTATATTTTCTGCCTTTACCACCTATGACATACAAATTTACATAGATTTATTACCCGTGGTTCCTTTTCACTTACTTTTTTGCATTGATCTAAACTTGGTCAAACTTCAAAGTTTGGGTGTGTTTTTAGAGATTTTAGTCACAACCCCTTTCAATTTTCCCTTTCCAGGCTAAAAGTATTTGTTTTCTCATCTCATGGTGTAAAGTAGCCCTCTTTGCTACTACCTCCTTCCCCCTTAAATTTTTCTTGTTACCTTGGGGTAGTTTTGGTATGTCTTTCTCGACTACAGTGTTTTATATGAGATGAGTAGCTTTCTGCTTTGTTCTCAACAGATTTCCTTGGTTCAAAAGAATAAATATATATATTTTTTCTTTTTTGACAGTAGCCACATACTGGGCCAACTGCAACCTATTTTAAAAAATTTTCAAAAACTATCCTTAGAAGGTTATTCTAATATTTCTACCTAGAAATAGTACACAAACAATATAGTTCTGTGCTCTAAATGGATTTAGTATTTATGCATTGGTTTTATATCTGTAGCACGGTAACTGTCAGTTGATTTCAAAAGTCCTTCCAATGCCTCTTTAAAAAAAAAAGGATAGTCCATTGGTGTGCCTCATTAGTTGGGCGCCAACCCATGAATCAAGAGGTCACTGGTTTGATTCCCGGTCAGGACACATGCCCAGGTTGGAGGTTTAGTCCCAGGTGGGGGCATGCAGGAGGCAGCTGAATGATGATGTTTCTCTTTCATTGGGAAAATCTATCCCTCTCCCTTACTCTCTCTGAAATCAAGAAAAACAATAATTAAAAAAAGGATAAAAATATATTAGCTCAGTGACTAGTAATGTCAAGTTGAGGCCAGAGGACGAACTGATTTATGACCTCTCTTCCCTGGCCCATGAATATAAACATACCCATGTCTAGTAGGTAAAAATAAATAGATAAAGTTAAAGCCATAAAGTCAGAAGGAGAAAATTCAAGACTTTTTAAGAGATATCCCTCTAAAGTATCCACCTTAACAAAACAATACAATAAGCTAATGGTATTTTCAAGTTATTTTAATCCTATGAACCTTTCTGCAAATAAAATCTTATGAATAATTCCAATCTGAAAAGAGAGGGTAATGGGAAAGAACCGGTTGAAATAGTATGCACAGTCTTACTGACTAAACCTGCATGGAGCTCACCTCCAATCTCTACACCAGGGACCCTGTTGGACAAAATAACTTAAAGCCCACAGGACAAGTACATACTAGTTCTGTTTGTTGTCTCTGGCTAGAGTATTACCTCTTGTTCTGGGTCATCATCCAGAAGATTAAATTTTTTTTTAACCACACGTCCAGATGCAGTAACAGTGGGTAAGTTTTCATTCTATCATATGGAGAGAGAAAAAAGATGTGACAAGTCCTAGTATATGCAATTAATAACAAAATTAATTAGCAAATTTGGTAAAACTAACCAACCCTTCTCCAACATCCATAATTCTTTCCTCAACTAATAAAATGCTGAATCAGATTTTTGATCCTCCAATTAGTAAAAATACTTGTTATTATAAAATTTTTAATGGGTAAAACACCAAAATAGGCAAAAATAAATATGAAGGTTAGATTCACTACTTCACTCGCCCTTCTGATTCTGCATTAGTATATAGTACAGAAAATAAGAGTGGATCTGCTTTTGGAAATTTCCCTCTGCATGATTTCCTTCATACTCTTAATTTGTATGCTAAAGGAAATGAAACCAGCTGGAGTCAAAGCAATGAATTAAACCCAAAGGTTAATAACTCATTAATAAAAAGTTAAAGAGAAATCCATAAAGGAAATAGAAATAAGCAAAAAAATACTCAATGTAGCTCTGGCTGGTTCAGCTCAGTGGATAGAGGGTTGGACTATAGACTGAAGGGTCCTGGGTTTGATTCTGGTCAAGGGCACATGCTCAGGTTGCAGGCTCCATCCCTAGTAGAGGGTATGCAGGAGGCAGCGGATCAATGATTCTTATCAGTGATGTTTCTCTCTCCCCCAAATCAATAAAAATATATTTTTAAAAAATCCTCTACAATGAAGAGGTAATATGCAAATTGACCATCACTCCAACACACAAGATGGCCACCCCAATGTGGACACAAGATGTCCAGCAGGGGAAGGCAGTTAGGGATGACTGGGTGACACAGGAGGGCAGTTGGGGGCGACCAGGCCTGCAGGGGAGGGCAGTTGGGGGGCAATCAGGCCTGCAGGGTAGGGTAGTTAGGGATGACTGGGTTGCACAGGAGGGCAGTTGGGGGCGACCAGGCTTGTAGGGAAGGGCAGTTGGGGGGGGGGCCAGGTCTGTAGGGGAGGGCAGTTGGGGGCAACCAGGCCAGCAGGGGAGGGTAGTTAGGGGCATCGGACCGGCAGGGGAGCAGTTAAGCATCGATCAGGTTGGCAGGGGAGTGGTTAGGGGGTGATCAGGCTGGCAGGCAGAAGCAGTTAGGGGCAATCAGGCAGGAAGGCAGGTGAGTGGTTGGAAGCCAGCAGTCCCCCAGACTGGAGAGGGTGCAGGCTGGGCTGAGGGACACCCCCGTCCCCAATGCACGAATTTCGTGCACTGGACCTCTTGTATTCAATATAATCCAGATCTCCTATGTACATGGGGTTAAGACCAGCTATCCACATAGACAAAGTGAACAGACTTTTATAAACTTGTGCTGTTCATGTCAGCCACACTAAAGGGCAAACACATCGGCATTATTCTATTCCTACATTGAAAGACAGTGATACACAGAGGATTTTAAAGTACTCCTGACTTACTTTGTTCTCCCGGTTGGCCAAAATGACAAAATCTTCAGAGATCTGATGCTGGCCACTATTATTTTCTATTTCATTTAGCTTTAAAACTCTGAAAAGAGAAAAAAAGATTCTAAGAACCTAAGACTTCAACTCACCATCAAAATGCCAAAGTTGAACTAGTGAAACTCAACAAATGAAAATTATAGTAACAACACTGAGTTAGTTCTTCTCTCCTTATGATTAGTCTGAAATACTAACATCCATTTATTTAGGTGTCCATAAACTCTTTCAAATTTAGGGATCTTGTTAAACAGAAAATGTAGGAATGGTGACAAGTGCTACTGGGGTAGGTAATGAGCATGCTCAGGCTTAAGCCATCTTCCATACTGGCTTAATGAAAGATACTTAAAAACACACACACACAAAACCTCATCTCTGCCATCCTGCAACAGGTCTTTAACTTTTTTTACTTTAACAATGGCATTTTAGTACAGGCATACCTCGTTTTATTGCTCTTCACAGATTTTTTTTTTTTTACAAACTGAAGGTAAGACCCTCCACCAGCAAAAAGATTAAGGCTCATTTTATTGCAACACTTGCTTTATTGTTGGGGTCTGGAACTGAAATGATATCTCTGAGGTATGCCTATAGATATTTATATTTTCATTTCTGAAGATAAAATGAGATATCAATGAATAATACTTGAAGTTAATTATAAGACAGACTGGATTAGCAACTATGTTTGAACCAAGAGTTTTCATGAAAGAGTAATATTTAAGAACTGCAAATGACTCAATACTTTTCTTTTTTCTTAGTATTATATGTAAAGATTAAAGATTTGGGTTTTCTGAGTGGTTTCCTTGGATCAAGAGAAAATAATTTGCTCACCACCCACACAAAAATCTGTTCACAGCACTACCAAGCTTCAAAAGCACAATGTTTTCAAAGCTTAAAGTCTCAAGGGCAGGCAAAGAGAGCAGCAGGGAGAAGCAGTGACTGTGGCCAGGAAGAGCCAGAGGCCTTAGAGTTAGTCAGAGACAAAGAAATCAGATTAATTTTAAATTACTCAACTAGCTATCTTAATTAGTGCGGACATTGTATAGTGCCTATCTATTAAACCTGGCAAAGGGCACATACTCTCTGTGGACTTCATTTTCTTAAACTAATATCAATATTAAGAGATGGGTGGTAACATACATTAAAAGTAAGGTTTAGGAAAGCTGAGTCACAGTTTTTATTACTTTTATAAAAGTTCACAATCTTATTTCATTAAGTCCAGTCATCCTCCTAATCCTCAGTCCAGAGAAGCCGACTAATTAAGTGGAGCAGACACTCCCTCTTATTCACAAACACTCACTGAGCACCTCAGTCTTGGCTAAGCACTGTGCTCAGTGCTGGGATTAGAGGCTTCAGAAAAACAGACTCTTTCCCTGTTTTTATGGAGCTCATGATTCCAAGTCTGGATATTGAAACAGATATTCACACAAATAAATAGTTTAAATTGCTCCAAGTGCTACAGAGGAACATTACATAGCCGGTGCAATGAAAAGAAGATGAGGAGCTAATCCAACAAAGGTTTCAGGAAAGGACTCGGTGTAAAAGGGACATTTAAGCTCAGGCATTAAATATGAACAGATATTAGGTAGGAGAATAGCTAAGGGAAGCCAACTCCAAAGAGAGGGAACAGGACCTCGCCTTTCTGAAAAGAGTATGTTTGAAGTGAGCTGAGTCAGAGTAAGGTCTTTCAGATAATGCCATAAGCAACAAGAAGCCATAAAAAGGTTAAAGCAGCCGAAGCCGGTTTGGCTCAGTGGTAGAGCGTCGGTCTGCGGACTGAAAGGTCCCAGGTTTGATTCCGGTCAGGGGCATGTACATTGGTGGCAGGCACATCCTCGGTAGGGGGTGTGCTGGAGGCAGCTGGTTGATGTTTCTCTCTCATCGACGTTTCTAGCTCTCTGTCTTTTAATTGATTGTAAAAAATCAATTAAAAAAAAAGGTTAAAAGCAGAATTCATATGGTCAGGTTTTTGTGTTTGTTAATGTTTCTAAAAATCACTCTTAGCTGCTGAGAAGAAAACAGACTTAAAAAGTACAAAAATGGATTTTTGGAGTTCTATAAGTACACTATTAGATTATCATGGTCCAGGCTAGTGGTGACAATAGTCTGGCCAAGATGATGACAGTGGCCAAGGGCAGAATGAGGGAGATTTAAGAAATGTTTAGTAGCAAAATAAACTGTATTGGCAGAGGGAGAGGGAGAGGGAGAGAATGTAGATGTGAATGTTTAAGTATGTTTATGTACCCTGATGAAAGACAAAAGTCAGAAAGTGCCAAGAATTATTCCAAATTTCTAACATGATCCTAGGTGACAGATATTTAGGCTAGGATAGCATTTTTGGAATTTTATATACCCGATCTTTGAAGCCAAGGGAATACAGAATTCCAGAGAGAGAAAAGAAGAGTGAGGTGTCCTGAGGACATCTAACTCAGTTTGTACACTAAGGGCAGATCACAGAGGGGGGGCACACTGAGGAGAGCTGTGGCGGCAGAGGAGCCAAACGAAGAGGGTTTCAAGGAAGGAGAGGGCAACTGTTGGAAGATACGGGTTAACAAGGTTTACTTCCACACAATCTGCTCTCTCTCCTACGGCAAGGCTACTATTTAGGACAAAGACAAATCATCTTTGTTTTCAATAATCCTAGAGAACCAAGACCTGATGAAGATGAGCCAATTTGCCATCCTCTTTATTTATATATCATCCCCTGAAGAACTTACTCAATGATAATATTTACAAACAGTGATGATGAGGCTGAGGGAATAGTTAGGTTTTCCAAATGTCAGTCTCTGAGGAAGCACCTTCCATAATTTGCTCAGTAGTTAGCTGGCACAAAAATAAAGATCCCAGTCAATGCTACCAAAAGCTACTTTTAATTTTAAAGTGACTAATGAAAATACTCACTTGACTTGATTTGGGCCAACATGTATTATTCTTCCAGAAGCATCAGGATGAAAATAGATCCAGTCAGATTCTAGAGAACAACATTCCATTTCTTGGATCCCATTTTTAGCCTGAAGTTGGGGGGAAATATTGAAACTAAAGATTAAAAGAAAGGAAAATATTTTTTATTTTTCAAATCTAACAGCAGTAACAGATCAGTAAGTCAAAGGTACAGAGAGGAGAAAATATTAACTAGTTGAACTGGGATATGTAGAAGGGCTGAATTAGGACACTCAAACTTAAGAAATAAAAACAGCTGAGACCGGTTTGGCTCAGTGGATAGAGTGTCGGCCTGCGGACTGAAAGGTCTTGGGTTCGATTCCGGTCAAGGGCATGTATCTTGGTTGCGGGCACATCCCCAGTAGGGGGTGTTCAAGAGGCAGCTGATCGATGGTTCTCTCTCATCGATGTTTCTAACTCTCTATCCCTCTCTTCCTCTTTGTGAAAAATCAATAAAATATATTTTTAAAAAAAGAAAGAAATCAAAACATTTAAATTCAGAAATCTTATAGATTTATCTTGTACCATACATTATATCTCACAAAAAATCTCTTAGTTACCTTATCTCAGGCACACCTGCTTTATGTCAGCATCTGATGTTTTACATTCATTATTTCATTTGATCTTACAACATTCAAAGCATATTTTGTTATCTCTACTTTATGGGTGAGGAAACAAAGAATATAAATAATTTGCTCAATGTTTAGCATCTATTAAACAGCAGATATGACTTCAAAGTCCATGGACTTTCTATTCTATAACATTGCCATAATTATGCTCATGCAGTCTCCTCCCTTCCCTATCCCTAATAAACCATCACTCAGAAGAGTGGATACATGAAAATAAACACGTAACCAAACCTAAAATCTCAGACACAGGTCATATGATCTCCTTGGATAAGCCAGATATTAAACTCGAATGCTGAGGAAATGGTCTAATACTGCTTAGCCTTTAAGACTAGTGGAGACATTTATTTTACAGTAATCTACTTAGACATTAAAATAAAGACATTAAAATAAAGATCATACCTCCATGATATGTTATCACATATGCACATAAATGTGTTTTGCTTTACACACGGGAGCACTGGGAACCATTATCAGCATGAATACTAGTACATTAACTTCACTAGCTTTATCTAAGTCATTCAAATTCTTTAATTTTTCCCATTTAAAATAATACCATCTTTCCTATTTGATACTCATGAAAGTTTGTGAAATATTACTGAATTTATTCCAGTAGCATATATTGACAGCATGCTATGTTTTAGGTGTCACACTAGGCGTTTGTACTTGACGTGAATTGAACATAATCCTTGCCATCAAGAAGCCCACAATCAAGAGGGGAGGCAGAGAATAATAAGGCAGCGTAAAAACCAAAGTGATCAAGCATTCAACCCCGGTGAGGAGAATTTCAGGAAGAAAAAAAGCTTAAACTGAACTTACAGGATGAGCAGAACATGACTAGAAAGAAGAGAGCAAATTCAAAAGCACAGAAGTATTCACCTACCTACCGTGTATGTGCATGAACACGAGAAGCTACCAAAATTAAATTAAGGAAGAGTGCCCAGCCATGAGACAGGAGCAGGAGGCTGGGACTATGTCACAAGTGCTTTACATGCCATGCTTTTCTAAATCTTTGAATTTAACACATTTTATGTATCAAGTTAGAGAATGAGTTTTAATTTCCAGAATTTAATAACTATCCTCATATAATGATGGTATTATTACATTTTATTTTTTAAATATATTTTATTGATTTTTTACAGAGAGGAAGGGAGAGGGATAGAGAGCTAGAAACATCGACGAGAGAGAAACATCGACCAGCTGCCTCCTGGACACCCCTCACAGGGGATGTGCCCGCAACTAAGGTACATGCCCTTGACTGGAATCGAACCTGGGACCCCTTAGTTTGCAGGCCGATGCTCTATCCACTGAGCCAAACCAGTTTCGGCTAGTATTTTTACATTTTATAAGAATATCAATGCAGCCCTAGCTGGTTTGGCTCAATAGATACAGCATCAGCCCGCGGACTGAGGAGTCCCAGGTTCGATTCCGGCCAAGGGCACATGCCCGGGTTGTGAGCTTGATCCCCAGTAGGAGGGGTGCAGGAGGCAGCTAATCAATGATTCTCTCTCATAATTGATGTTTCTCTCTCTCTCTCTCTCTCTCTCTCTCTCTTTCTCTCTAAAATCAATAAAATATATATTAAAAAAAAAGAATATCAATGCAATTAAGCAGCTTGGTTGCAACCACTGAAATTAACGTGTCCATGATGGCATTAGCTCCAGATGCTCCTTTAGTATAAAATATATAGCCAAAACCGGTTTGGCTCAGTGGATAGAGCGTCGGCCTGGGGACTGGAAGGTCCCAGGTTCAATTCCGGTCAAGGACATGTACCTTGGTTGCGGACACATCCCAGTGGGGGGTGTGCAAGAGGCAGCTGATCGATGTTTCTCTCTCATTGATGTTTTTAACTCTCTATCCCTCTCTCTTGTTCTCTGTGAAAAATCAATAAAATATATATTAAAAAATATATAAAATATGTACATACTATACATATCTTTCTTTAGGAGATTATTTATTTTAGTATCTACACTACACAAAAGAAAATCAGATCTCTGTATTAAACACTATGCAGTATCATCAACTTTGCAGTGTTTATTTGTTCAAATGATAGAATTTATTTATTTCAAATGCTAGATTTTAAAGCACAGTTAATTAGAAGGCTCTGACACATGTACTGAATTCTTTAGTTTGGATGCATATGAGCTTTGGGATTATCTACACTTCAGACTGACAGATGGAAGGTAATGGGTATATGCATCATCAGGTCACTGCAATAAAGCTGTCTAGCAAATGGATTGAAGCTTCCCCTGGATTTGGCAATTATTTATGAATATATTAAAATACAGATTTGACTAAATGTTATAATCTTAATCAATTATTACAGAAGGAGAGCCCATGCCAGACATGCTTGATATGGATATTGAAAGCCATTTCTCTCTCTCTCTCTCTCTCTCTCTCTCTCTCTCTCTCTCTCTCTCTCACACACACACACACACACACACACACACACGAAAGAATATATATTATTAGTTCTTATGTAAGAAGAGTATGTACTAAATATCACAATGTAAACTGTGTAAGGTTATACTGGGAGAAAAAGTAAAATAAAAAAGAGATACACAAGGTCCTGTCAGCTGAAGGATGTCCTCTGGTTGAGAGGTGAACAATCAAACCAGACTTGTCATGACAAGAAACTGCCCCTCAAGAATGCATCGTAAAAGAGGATGTCACTGGGCGGGGCCAAACAGGAGCTGTTATATGAGGTATGCAAATGAAAAAACAGAGGGAACCATAATCCTGCAAAAAGAAAACCAGAAGACACTGTGTTCTCTGGTGGCCACAACATCAAGGGAAATAGATAAATGAATCCAAGACTGTGCCGATCTTCAGCATGAAAAACGGTGACCTGTACTCTAGACGCCTCTGGGCCCAACAACAACTGAGCAAGATCCTGAGAGAGATGGGTGTAGATAAGCTGAGTCTGCCTCAAAAAAATTCATTTGATTTATCAAGAGTTTCAGAAATAAAACTAAACCAGCAATACAAAACTAAGATGGAATGTGCACTCATTCTTTTGCACTTTTCTCAATTACTGTACTTAACAGATAGCATCTAATTTATCCACATATTTGAGTGTGTTTTTTGAGTGTAAGTAACTTGAGAGAAGGAAATGTGTCCCAGCCATGTCTGGCACATACTTGGCCCTAAATGATATTTATTAATTGATAAATCAATGCCTAAATCACTTTTTAAATGAAGAAAAATAGATTTACTGGATAGAAATTTCTTTTGTCTTATCATATACCATTTTTTCCCCCCTATTTTGCCATAAATAATTTAAGAACAGCCTTGAAAGGTCAGTGTTTCATGGCTTACATTGTGAACACCAGAATTTTACCTGGTTATGTTCTGAAAAGCAAAGAGCAACAAACCATGAAAAAGCAGAACCAACAACACATTCCACCAGCAATTTCAGAGGCAGCCTGAACATATTCATTGATTCCCCCCATGAAGCATGGAATCCCGTGCTGGGAGACTGGTAAGAAAAAACACTTAAGTAATCTCTGGTACCCTAAGAATTTTCAAATATTAATGCTTTTAAATTCCCAGTAGGGCACACAAGCTTTTGCTATGTTCTTTGTACTCCTCTGTATTACACATTATTCACAAATTAATAAATAAATAAATAAAAAAAGTAACTCAGGAGTGTGAACCTATTAGAGAAGCAGAGAAAAAAGAATTTCTGATACGAATTTACTACTGAAAGGTCTGATCACTCATCCTTTACCAAGGAGTTGTCTTTAAGGGCACAAATATGGAAAACTCCTTTCTGTTTCTTCTTATTAGGTGTGATGATGTAGTGCCAAGGGTGGCCTCCAATCTGAAAGGCATTCTCCAGGGAGGACACCTCAAAGAGCAGTGGTGGCGTGTCTGTAGACATGGGCAAAAGGAATTTATTAGCTTTCTCTGTTCTGGTAGCTTTGGATCATTCATTAACTGAGTTCAATCTTTCTTTGCATGCATCATCTATGAGTTCCCACTAATGAAGAATTACTGTGTTCAAGAAAATAAAAAAACAATCAGGAAACAGGCTTATTGCTAAGAGAAGAGAAAGTTGGTAGAAAACAAATGTTAGGCTATGAGTCAACCTTCTACACATCTGTTTTCGGGGTAAGTGTGACCTGTAGTTGAGTGGAGATAAAAGTGGGCTGAAGGTGCTTATGATGGAAAAATGACAAAGTACAGCCAATAAAAGCAGCTGCCATTTACTAGGACGCATCTGCCATGTACAAGACTGGGTTAGATACTATTTCCAACTCTCATAACAATCCTGCAAGATAATTAGGTCTAATAATTCCTTTAAACGTGAAGAAGACATATTCCATAATCTAGACTAACAGGTTAAACTTACCAAACCTTACAGAGCAGCCCTGCTTAGGATTTCCAGTGTGGAAGTGATATTAGTACAATGAATGTAAGCAGTTAGGATAGCCCTGTCACAATGGAAGCTTTTTTAAAGAATAGCCAGTACTACTATATTATTATTAGACAAGTTAACTTTAAGGGAGTTTAGATACATCCAGTCAGTCACTGTCTTTTGGAGATTGACAGTACATGAGAAATAAAATAATACCTCATTTTATTGTGTGTTGCTTTATTGTGCTTCATAGGTACTGCATTTTTTATAAACTGAAGGCAAGAACCTCCACCAGTAAAAAGATTCTCACTTTATTGTGATACTTGCTTTTATATGGTGGTCTGCAACTGAACTCACAATATCTCTGAGGTATGCCTGTGCCTGCTTTATTGTGATGGTCTAGAACTGAACTCACAGTATCCCTGAGGGATGCCATATTCATTGGTGTTTCTTAAGTCTTCTTCGATGACAATTTTGGGTAGAGGTAACGGATTTACTCATACAGAAATACATAAGCGGAAGGCACAGCATCTTCAGAAGATCAGAATTCCTTTTGGGCAGCCTTGTGAAGCACCACATGGTCTGCTTGAGCAAGTGGCTCATCCCTTGTTTACCTTTTTATTAATACTTGAGAGTTTAATCTTTGGTTTAAGAGGCCACCACTGTCAGTAAAGGGCTAATCTTAGGGAGACCACTTACTCATGTTATTTTAGAAATGTGTGCTATATTAGGCCTCTTCATAAACACAATTTACTGCTATCCATAGGTGACAGTTATCACCATATGGTAGAACTATGAGTGTTTAAATTTTCTCTATTTTATTTAATTTCATTTTCTATTTTTTCTGTAGTAAAAATAAACTGCTTTGCCTGGCTGATGTGGCTCAGTGGTTGAGCACTGACCTATGAACCAAGAGGTCAGGGTTTGATTCCCAGTCAGGGCACATGTCTGGGTTGCCAGTTCAATCCCCAGTGTGGGCCATGTAGGTGACAGCCGATCAATGATTCTCTCTCACCATTGATGTTCCTGTCTTTCTCTCCCTTTCCCTTGCTCTCTGAAATCAATAAAAACATATTTAAATATATATATATATTATAATAATTTTTAAGTTTACTCATGTGATTTTAATATCTTTCTCCAAATATTAAATCACATCCTTATATTCCCAAGATGAACTCTGGTCAGTCATGGTTTATTTCTTTTAACATACACTGCTGAATTTGATAAGCTGGTTAAATATTTTTATTGTATTTACAGAATTGAATATAATTTTATTTTTTGTGCTTTGTCAATCATTAAATATACTAGGAGGTTCTTTCTATGTCTAAGCTCTATATTCAGATAGAATGGTAATTATATTTTTCTTGGAAAATACCTTTCTTAGAAGTAGATAAAATTGTATAATTGCAAAACAGTAAGTGAAGAGGGGGCATTTGCTACATTTGCTACAACTAATCATTTTGCAGATAAGGAATCCAGACTAGAGTGGTTAAGTGACTTGCCAAAGGTCATCGATCTCTGGCTAAGCAAGGCCCAGCATCTCCAAGAATGAAGGATAGATTTTTCTTGACATGTATTCAATAGAAAGGAATATGCTGTATAAGAATAAAATGAGTTGAGTTTGTAATTAAATTATAAGAAAAACATTTGGGTGATTACAATTAATAACTGACACGACTACTTATTTTTAAAGGTGAAAAAATACTACATAGTAGCCATACCTGTGAGTTTAATATTACAAGGAATGCCAAAAGGAGCCTCTCCCACAGTTCCAGCAGTCCCACCCCATCTGCATGCACACCCTAAGTCAAGTTTCTGTTGCATGAACTAAAAACAAAACAAAACAAAAACGGTGTCTTTAGCACCTACTTATTGTTGCCTGGAGAGAGAAAAATTTAAATTCACATGTATATGACAGAAAATGTCTATATTTATTCAGGCCTTTATGTTTATCTTCCCACCCCTCTATTAAAGGTTATTTTGTCTTTGTGCATTTCCTGTATTTTTGTAGACCAGAAATTTACACAAGTGTCTACTTTAAAGGCATATCATTAAAAACACCATATGTCAGTCCAAACTTCAAGTTAATTAAAATAGGCAAATTCCAGTTTGCTCTACCTGTTCAGTGATGGCTTGGAAGCTATAGAGTCTGACCAGTCCTGAGCTGTACATCACAATCAGTATTCCATGAGATAAGGTAGCATCTGTAACGTTCCCGAAAATCTGAGGGGAAAGGCAGATATCACCTGAGAAAAGACCAGAAGGCCAATCCTCTGAGTGCTCACGGCGGTTTATGCGTTTGCTTAATATTCAGGCTACCACTACAATACTGCTGCCTCACATCGTAAGATAACTATAATTTAGAAAGTTGAAATTAAGGTGTTATTAGGGATGAGTGGTAAGCCACTGGAGTCTCATACTGAAGCACTAATGGAGATGCAGTAGCTTTCATCTGCTTCATCCATTTGCTTCAGTTTTGTCAATATCTTTTAATGACAAATTGTATTCCTCATGGACATAGCTTTACACGAATCCATCTAATTCTAAATAAATATTTACTTTACCATGCATAGCCTGCTAGGGATCTGTTCTTTATGCTAAAATGTTATTGATAGACTTAATTTTTTAGCTAACTAGAGGGGGAGAGATGGGATCTAAAAAGTAATTCTAATAAGAAACAGCCAGCTCCAGGTCTCTATCATTATCTTGTTCTTTTAATCTTTGGTAGTGTTTAATTTTTCAGTCATGTAAAAATCAAACAAGTTAAAGTCTAACCACCTTCTGAGCCATTAACCTAGCTAATTCAAGTAAGACTTTGGTTCATTGCTCCCTTTCTGTTTCTGTGCAGTGGACGTGGTCGTGAATCTCCATAGAAGTTCTGATGAAGAACTTGATCATATGCCTATTTTAATATTTATCAAAAGCTAGCATAGACAAATATTTACAGCAATAAAAGAATAGAGCTGAAACCAGTTTGGCTCAGTGGATAGAGCGTCAGCCTGCAGACTGAAAGGTCCCAGGTTTGATTCTGATCAAGGGCATGTACCTTGGTTGCGGGCATATCCCTAGTGGGGGGTGTGCAGGAGGCAGCTGATCGATGTTTCTCTCGTTGATGTTTCTAACTATCTCTCTCCCTTCGTCTCTGTAAAAAATCAATAAAATATAGTATTTTTTAAAATATATATTTTATTGATTTTTTACAGAGAGGAAGGGAGAGGGATAGAGAGCTAGAAACGTCGATGAGAGAGAAACATCGACCAGCTGCCTTCTGCACCCCCCCACTGGGGATGTGCCCGCAACCAATGTACATACCCTTGACCGGAATTGAACCTGGGACCTTTCAGTCTGCAGACCCACGCTCCACCACTGAGCCAAACCAGTTTCAGCTAAAATATAGTATTTTTAAAAAAGAATAGAGATGAAGTGAAAATGTTTTTTTTATTTCTACTCAAGACAAGTTACTTAGTAAAGATTTACTACCCCAATAAATAGCTTAAAGTACATTCCAACTCTGGACCCTGGGTAGCCTGTTCATGCATAGTAAGTGAAAGATATACTTCAATTCCAAGTAAGCATATTGAAACCATATTCCTCAAATGATAATCTTAGACATATGAGAATGAAAAGAAACAATTTATGACTTTATTACATGTTCATTCCTGCTGTAGACTATAATTAGAATAGACAATTACTTAATCTACAAGCACAAGGAGGACAATTATGTTCATGAGTTATGTGTTTTGGTTATCTCTTAGAAGGTAAATTATAGTTTGCTTTGATCTTGACTAGCTCATGACTTTTTTTTTTTATTGACCCTGGGTCCCCACTATGTTTGCGTGATACAAACATAGTTTCAATTACTGAGTGCTATAATAAAAAAGCTACTCTATCTTAAAATTTGGTTTGTAATTTGGAGTCAAATTTAGTTTAAAATTCCAGTTCCTCCATTTATTGCCTGCTAATGCTATAATGTCATAAATGCTCAAAGTGCTTGATACAAAATAATTAATAATTATTATTCTTCAGCCTATAATGCTTATATAATATAAACTTTAAAAAAATACATTCATCTGTTTGCTAATGAATACTAGTGAACCTTCAATATCTGTTCTCTACTGAGAGGCTATTGATTCCTTTACTCAAAGGAAATTTGTCCTTCTTTCCTCCCATATAACCACCCACAAACCAATAAGAATGGCAATAACGATAAAACATAAAACTTAATGAGTTGGAAATGTACATAAATTATAAGACCTGTTTATATATCATAAGTTTTAGATGTATTGTATACTTTGCAATTAAAATGAGGCTTTTTGTTGCAGCTTTTCACCTTTATTTAATGAGAATAGTCCTCTGGAAAAATACCTTACTCATTTCATAATTTTATAAAATAGTGGCTTGTTAATGACCACTATTCAACATTATCCACACGAAAGACATAAAAGCATGCAGAAAGATGAAGGAATGATTAGGCTCTCTTCCCATGTTAAATGTTCTCATATATTTTGAAATAAAATAAACTAGGTCAGCAAGCTTTTTATAGTCAGGGGAACATTTCTAATCACACCTAATAAACAAATAATTAAATCAGAAATGAGCGCTTACCTTTTTGCTGATCTCCAGAATCCCTATGAGTGAAAAAGGTAGAACATGGAACACTGCAAGGTACAGCAAGACAGGCTGTGGAAGACCTGCCTAAAAGGAAAGACTAAAGTTACAGGCAGCTCTGAAGGGTATTTCAGAAACACTGTTTCCTGAGCTGAAAACATTCACCCGTCCTTGCATCAGTTATAGATGTTTTCATGAATCAAAAACATTCATCTCTTTACACTAGAGCTATTTAAACAGAGATTCATACATGTTCAAAATATGTCCATTAAAATGGTCACCCTTCAATCACACATATGCACTTACACACAAAACTTATAAACATAAATATAAAACTAAACATTTCTTAGCAACAAAATATATATTCTATTCTATACAAAAACATTTTTATACTGTAAAACAAAACACATATTATATATTGTATAATATATCCCTATGTTATATTATAAATTACATGTTTATGCTAATATAAAATAAATTAATACATTATATTTAATGTAATATTAATAATTAATATTGTAAGTTGGAATTCAAACAATTAAGAGCCTAACTGAAAGACACAAGATTATCATGGTTATATCATTTAAAAGCAGTGTTACTCTGCCATATATGAAATAAGAAAAGAGTATTGCCAATAAAAGCTTGAGTGATTTCTCTGCTTGAAGAAGATTGCTTCTTTACTTTGAAGAACAAGATCCAGTCAATTTTTTTCTAATATGAAATGTAAAACAGTCTGTACTAGCCCAGAGTGGTTTAAAGGAAATTTCTGAAATTTGTAGTAAACAACTTTAAAAAAAAATATATATTTTATTGATTTTTTACAGAGAGGAAAGGAAAGGAGGGATAGAGAGTTAGAAACATCGATTAGAGAAAAACATCCATCAGCTGCCTCTTGCACACCTCCAACTAGGGATGTGCCCACAACCAAGGTACATTCCCTTTCTTGAATCGAACCCGGGACCCTTCAGTCCGCAGGCTGACACTCTATCCACTGAGTCAAAAACAGTCAGGGCATAAACAACTTTTATAGCATGCTTCAGAAAACAAAGATCATTAGTTCTTTTATGACAAATCAGCAGACAAATTCCTACGGAAAAAACAAATTCTTCGTTTTAGGGAATGTTTAAAGATGCCTACCTGCCGGGCCAATGCTGAGCCTTTGTTCTGAGCTGATTTGACTGCGATGACCTCTTGAGGAGTGTCCCAGCTCAAGTATCTTTTAAAAGAATGAAGCGAGTTTATTCATTTGGGGGTGAAGGGAGACTTTCTTTCTTATACTTAAATCAAAATATATATTTTGTCATATTTAAAAAATGTTTTATTAATTTTTAAAAATATATATATTTTATTGACTTTTTTACAAAGAGGAGTAAGAGAGACAGAGAACTAGAAACATCGATCAGCTGCCTCCTGCACAATCTCTAGTGGGTATGTGCCTGCAGTCAAGGTACATGCCCTTGACCAGAATCGAACCTGGGACCCTTGAGTCCACAGGTCGATGGTCTATCCACTGAGCCAAACCACTTAGGGCTGTTTTATTGGTTTTTTATTTTATTTTTTAAAATATATTTTTATTTATTTCAGAGTGGAAGAGAAAGGGAGAGAGAGATAGAAACATCAATGATGATAGAGAATCCTGCACACCTCACACTGGGGATCGAGCCTGCAACTTGAGCATGTGCCCTGACAGGGAATCAAACCGTGACCTCCTGGTTCATAGGTTGATTTTCAATCACTGAGCCATGCTCTCTGGACTGTTTTTATTCATTTTTAGAAAGAGAGGAAGGGAGTGGGATATATAGAGAAACATCAATGAGAGAAACATCATCGATAAGCTGCCTCCTGCACTCCCCACCCCCACACCCTTTATTGGGGATTGAGCCTGCAACCCAGGCATGTGTCCTGACTGGAAATCAAACTGGTGACCTCTTGGTTCATGGATTGACCCACTGATCCACACCAGCCAGTCATATATCAAGTTTTTTAATTACTAAATTATAAAAGCAAAGCAATTTATTTAAAAAACAAACAAATAAATAGCTAAAAGAATTCCTTCCCAATCCTTATGTGAAAATATTCTTATAAAAATATATAAAACTTTAATCCTTCTGAGTTTTGATGAAAATTGTTTGAACTAACAGTATTCAAAACTTAGAAAACAAAATAACTATTTTATATAAAGTATAAAAAATATCACTTTCACATTTTGAATGCACATACTTCAAAAATTTATATCTAATTTACAAAACTAGTTGTTAAAATAACAGTTCTTAGATTGTACTAGGTGGATAATTTAACTGAAACAGACTAGCCGTCAGGAAAATCTACCAAAGTGCATCTTACATATAAAATATTATTTGTAGACTAGAGGCCTGTTGCATGAAACTTGTGCAAGGGGCTCAGCCCTTGCAGCAGCACTGGATTCCTCCAGGTCATTTGGAAGGACGCCCGGTCTAATTAGCATATTATGCTTTTAATATTATAGATGAAAAACACAAGACTTTTTAAAAGTTTATCTGCCAACTACTACAGGCTAGCTACTGATAAAGATACAAAAAAAAAAAATTAAAATGACTATCTATTCTCAGAACTTCAAATTTAGTCATGAGGAAAAAAAAAAAGGATATATAAATTGAGATCTAGGTATGCAATGGAAAACACACACACACAAAAAAACTTGCTTTGAATTTCCTGGGCCAGTCTCAAATTTTTATAATAAAATCTTGAATAATAAAGTCACAAATAATACCTGAATTTGCAATACGAAGCAAGATATATTTTCTCAAGGACTTTTCCCGTACTTGCTGATATACGAAGTAGCCAGTTATGGGCTGTCAATGCTATGAGTGAGGATTTATAATCTGATGGATTGGGCAGCATTTCCCCCTAAAAAAATGAGATGGAAAAGTAAAACTACTTGGCCATGAACAATCTGCAGTACTCAAGGCCCAAAGAGAACAGCTAAGCACTAAAGAAATAGTCAAATAAGCATATCAAAGAAATAATAGTAAATGCTCAAATACCCAAATAAAGAATTAAGACAAGGGAAAATAAATTGTGGGTAATTGTTTTATTTTTATTTTTTAAAATCAAATTTACTGGGGTGACATTGGCTAATAAAATTACATAGATTTCAGAAATACAATTTGTGGGTATAATTATTTCTATCATTAACTTAATTAAGTGAGCCTATTCATATAAGCACTAAAACAGTACATGAAATGATGTATTATTATTATTTATCATTAAGTATTCAGCAAATGTTAACCAATCATCATGATAGTTGGAGCATTTCTAATACTGCTGCTGTGATAAGGATGATAACAATAGTAACAAGTTTTTAAGGCCATGTAGAATAGCATAGCAATTAAGAGTCATCATTAGAAGAGACATTTCTAAGACGTGTTTTCCTTTTGACAGAAGTCAAAATGGCAAAAGGGCAAATTATCCCATTAGTCACTGTGGCTCTACTCTAACTCAGGATGAAAAGCTATAATCCAGAATCAAGACAGTCCAATGGGAACAGAAGATAGACCTGGTTTAAAAATAACCTACGTTATCAAGGAATTACACCCCACAAAGGAAGAGGTTAGCTGCCTGGTGCACCTGCCACTGCAGAGCTACCACCAGGTGGAAGTCTAAGACAGGAAGACAAAGAAAGCAAAGGCTTCTATTTGATTTGTGGAATAAAAAGGAAGTTCTAGGAGGAGAGTTAAAAATAGGGAAGTTAAAATTAACCTAGTATTTAATCCAGGCAGTTAGAGAACAGAAAAAAATTAATCCAGGCAGTAAGAGAACAGAAAAAAAATGAAGGCATAGTTATTTTATACATGGTCACAAAAATTTGTCTTCCCTTTCAAATGTTAGAAAAAGAAATAAGAGGTACTTTTAACATCAAGTTTTTAAAAATTATATGGTGTGTTATATAAGCATCATCTCATAAGGTTTTTAAGTTTTTAAAAATGTAATATTTATACCTTGCCTATTAAAAAAAATATGAAGGAACATATACAATAGGTTTGAGCTATTTTCTTAAACCAAAAGTTATATTCCGTAGGTTGTCTCAGAAAAGAATGGTGCTAATTTAAATATAGTTTTGCATCAGTATGTTAAAAACAATGCAATATGTTTCTTAATTTTTCTTAATGGAAAATCTTTACTTCAAATGAGAACAAAATGTTTAATAAGAAGTGATGCTAGGAATTGAGTTACCTGAAACTGTATTTTTATAGCACTGGTCTAAATTTTTAGGTGCTTTGTACTAGTGTCTTCAAAACTTTTCTCAATTAAGAAATTTGTCCTCATCCTCCCTGCACCAATGAAAATGAATTCAAAAGGCTTTATATGTTGGGGCACAACAGTTATTTTTAGGTTTCAATACGGAGTTGGGGAAGAAAACATAGATTTAAAGCTTTCTGATTTTTAAAATGGAGCCTTATGTGAACAGAAAAAAGCATGTTCAGGAAAAAAAGAAAGCAGCAGCTATAGAAATATACAATTCTATGTAAAAACAGTGTATTTGTTTGTTTGTTTTTAATAATTTTAATGGTAAATTCAAAGTAGAACCTTCTTATCCTTTAAACTTTATTTTTGGTCACATATTGTGAGTTCTATTTTCCCTAAAGACCAACCAACCAGATTCAAAGACCTGATTAATTTGTTGTAGTGTTTCCTAAGTGTATTTCTTATTATATTATACTGATCCCATGAAACACTATTATTTAGAAATATTCCTAGCCTTAGCCAGCTTGGCTCAGTGGATAGAGCATTGGCATGTGGACTGAAGGGACAGATCCTCTCAAGGGCATATACCTCGGCTGCAAGCTCCTCCTCAGCCCAGGCCTGGTCCGAGTGCATGCAGGAGGCAACCAATCAACGTGTTTCTCTCACATCCATATTTCTCTCTGTCATTCCCTCTCTCCTCCTCTCTTCCTAAAAATCAATGGAAAAATATCCTCAGGTGAGGGTTAACAAAAAGAAAAAAAGAAAAGAAAAGAAGAAATATACCTGAAAAAAAGAAGTTCTATGATCCAGAGTTTGGAAAAGTAGATTGATATCACTATGCACATTAGAATTATTATTTTTTTGTAATAATAGATGCCATTTTTATTAATAAATCAAACTATAAGATATCCCATGATTCCAATTAGTGATAAATGTAAACAATATTTCATGATGCAATGTCTACAATAAAAACGAACTGATCTGATTTGGTTTGGCAGGAAAGTTGCAGGCACTGCTTTTATAATCATGATTTACTGCTAGAAATTCATATTTGGGAATAGTGAAAATAAAGATGTACTATTTTCCTCCATCAAATTCCTGGATACCCCAAGGAAGATTCAGAGAAGAGGTAAGATCTCAGTCAAGAACACCCTCTGTAGGCCAGACGAATATTCCATGATGTTCTTTCCTGGCTGTGTTCCTGGTGGTCATTGCAGGTTCCCACTGGAAGCCCAGTGACGAGATATTTGAAAAACAAGTTCATTAACACAAGTTCTGGCTCTCCTGATGGTAAACAGCTTCCAAGTTGTCGCAGACTGCCAGCTTGATGTGTTAAGGTGAACAATTCATTCCACTGTCTTCCACCTCAGAGGCCACCAGGGTGTGGCTCTGTGGGGCAGCCAGGGGCTGGGGCAATGTGTCCACTGTGTTGCTGGGGCAATCCTGGGAGCAGATCTCCTTGGCCAGCCGCCCCTTCTTCAACGTGCAGGCTTCCTGGTATGGCGGTGAGATGGGGGGCTGCGTGGGGGGCGTGTACTTGTACTCTGAGCCATCCTCCAGGTCCAGAGGGTAACTGCGGTCGGAATCATAGGAGCTCGGGTTTCCACAGGCTACAAATGGCACAATGATGCGGGTGGGTCCATTTAATTGGTTGAGATCTGGATCGTAAGAGTGGTCCAGGTCTGGCAGGAAGCCCTCCGTGGGGTCATAACCCTGACAGACGGCGAAGGCCTCGATGCTGGAGTTCCGGCTGCTCCTGGGATTGGCACAGAGCATGTTGGAAAAGAAGTCACGCAGCTGGCTGTAGATCAGTGTCACAGCCGGACCTCGAAAGATCTTGGCTACAAAGCAGCCCCCTGGCTTCAAGGCGTGTGTGGCAATGTTCAGAGCGGCTAGGAGAAGCTGGGCCTGCATATACTCATCAACATCCCGGAGGCCAGTTACATCGGGACCCCGTCACACACCACTAGGTCCGCGGGGCAGCCCTCCAAGTGCCGGATGATCTCCTCTGCAGTGCACAGCTGGGTGATGTCCCCCTGGATCTGTAACACACCTGGGAGTGGAGCCATAGCTTGAAGGTCCACAGCCACCACATGGCCAGACCCCTGTGGACTCCCGATCTTCTGGCCCAGCACCTGGCTCCAGCTGCCCGCGTCACACCCTGGAAGGGCCGGAATTCCTCACTGAGCTGCAGCAGCTCGAAGGTGCTGCGGGCATGCCAGCCGTTCTCCTTGGCCAGGCGGTAGTAGACATCCCGCTTGTCCTTCGACGGCCGTCCCATCTCGCACAGTTTGCCCAGGGACCTGGGTCTGCAGCCTCCCCGGTGTCAGCCGGCCAGACTGCCAGCTGCAGGGACGACGGCGAACTTCTCTCTTCCCTCGCGAGCGGGACTGCAGTCCTGGTGCCTCAGCTGCCCTCGGGGCCCCAGGGCCCACTTTAGCTTTCCAAGTGGGGAGGTGCGGTCCGCCGGCAGCCTGAGCCGACCGGTGGGAAATCTGAGGGCCTCAGTTTCTGTTCTTAAGTTGCTCTGAGCACCGATCGCGCGCGCCTGCAGGCTACTGCGGCGGCGATCCTGTCATCGAGGAATGCGGAGGCGCCGCGAGGTCCGGACTGACCCCAACTTACAGCGCGTGTCCCGTCACCTTGTCCACATTAGAATTATTATAAGTATTATTACTATTAAAGGCTCTGAGAAGTAATTCTATAAATTTGTTTAACGTTTGAAGTCAGAATACCCCAAACTTGTCTACAACCCATTTCCTCCAAACTCCTTTAGCAACTATAAGATATTAACATCTTAATGAAAATAGTATTTTGAAAAATACTCACTAGGACAATGCTGGTCTAATGGAATAAGCTTATATTATTACTAGAGGCCTGGTGCAAGAATTCATGCACAGGTGGGGTCCCACTGGCCTGTCCCAATCAGAGTGTATGTGGGCGCTGACTGAGGGCAGGCTTGCCAAGGGAAGGGGTTTCAGGCAGTTGGCCAATCAGGGTGGGGCTGGCCAGGGGGCGGGGCTGGCCAGGGGGCGGGGACACAAGAGATTGGCAGGCTGCCCCCACCCCAATTGTGGTGAGGGAGCCAATCAGGGGCAGGGCTGGCCAGGGGGAACAGGAGGGGGGGAGAGGCCACCAGCAGATGGCCGGCCAGCCCCACCCCTGGTCAAACTCCCAGTCGAGGAAACAATTTGCATATTAGCTTTTTATTATATAGGATTATTATTATTATTGATTTTAGAGCAAGAAAGGAAGGGAGAGATAGAGAAATATAGTTGTTGTTCAACTTACTTATGCATTCATTGGTTTATTCTTATATATGCTCTGACCTAGGATCAAAATCTCAACCTTGGTGTATCGGAACAATGCTCTCACCAACTGAGCTACTCGTCCAGGGCCTCATTGTTTTTTATTTATTTATTTATTTATTTATAAAATATATTTTATTGATTTTTTTTTACAGAAAGGAAAGGAGAGGGATAGAGAGTTAGAAACATTGATGAGAGAGAAACATTTATTAGCTGCCTCCTGCATACCTCCTAGTGGGGATGTACCCGCAACCAAGGCACATGCCCTTGACTGGAATCGAACCTGGGACCCTTCAGTCCGCAGGCTGATGTTCTATTCACTGAGCCAAACTGGTTAGAGTTGTTTTTTATTTTTATCTTATGATTTTCCTAACAAGATTACTGCAGGAAACTCATAAGAATCCCCTTTCAAACAATCATGTAACATAATTATTACCCATAACATGTAACATACCTGTAACAAAATATTTTGTTTCAGTATAGTAAGTAAAATCATTTCTTAAACACTAAAAATAACCATAAACTCATTTTTATTTCTTATGGAACTTTTAATGAGATCATAATTTTTTTTCAATTTTCAAGATTTACAAATGGTATCAAATTTAAAAAATATATTTTAAATATTATTTCATGAGGAAAAATAATAATCAAAAGATAAGTTCTCTTTAATTCCTTTCAAGATTCAGGAATCTCTATAATGTTTAAGTTTTATTCCCTTGTACAATGTATTAATAATAATCAGTTCTAGGTTAAAATTGCTTTAAAAACAAATGCCTAAAAACAAAACTTACCACTGGGCATTCCCATAATAAAGCATCCTCTATTTTTTCTGATTTGGAGCATTTTGGCATTTCATAAAGTTTTCTTGGCTCTGATGCAACACTGGGAAAAAAAGAAAAATAAATGATTAATGATAACTCATCTTAATAACTCAGACAGTATTTGCTCAGGTTTGAGTGATTTTTTTTTTCTAGTCAGAGATTTAGACTACCAAAATGCAACTTACTAATTTGCTTTCCTCTTTTTAATTATATGTTAATATATTTTTTTCTGATTATAAAATTCATAATACATATTCATAGAAAAAATCTTTAAAAAATAATAAAATTTAAATAGATTTATACTGTAAAAATGTCAAAAATAACCACTATTAACATTTTGGTCCATTTCCCTCTACATACATTTACCTACCTGCAGGTTATTTTCTAAAATAGAATCATGAATATCTTGGTAGAATTCTGATGCTCATGTTTGTTTCTCTAATATTTTTAATGAAAATGAATTAGATAAAGAGTCCAATTATTTTAGAATGAAAATTAGTGGATTAAAACAGGAAATACCCTTTAAAAGTTTGTTTATTCCCAAAATGGCTTTCAGAAAGATTGAATAAGTTTATACTTCTGCCAATACTTTTTAATGTATAAAATAGTCTCTTGCTTTTAATTTATATTTCTGATTTCTACTGAAATGTGCTTGTAGATGTTTTCATTTTTTTAACTGATGAACTTTAAAATTAAACTACTACTTAGACACAATTTTAGGGTAACTATTTTATTCACCTTTGATGTTTTCTCAAATCAAAGAGAATTTACCCTAGCTCAGTGGTCGGCAAACTCATTAGTCAACAGAGCCAAATATCAATAGGACAATGATTGAAATTGCTTTTGAGACCTAAATGTTTTAAACTTAAACTTCTTCTAACGCCACTTCTTCAAAATAGACTCACCCAGGCTGTGGTATTTTGTGGAAGAGCCACACTCAAGGGGCCAAAGAGCCGCATGTGGCTCTCGAGCTGCAGTTTGCCAACCACAGCCCTAGCTGTTTTTGCTCAGTGGTTAGAGTGTCAGTCCGCAGACTGAAGGGTCCAGGGTTCGATTCCGGTCAAGGCTCGTACCTTGGTTGCAAGTTCAATCCCTAGTCTCAGGTGGGGGCACATGTGGGAGGTAACCAATCCATGTCTCTCTCTCATATCAACGTTTCTCTCTGTCTCTACTCCTTCCTTCCACTGTCCCTCTAAAAATCAATGGGAGGAAAATATATCCTTGGGTGAATATTAACAAAAAGAGGATTTCAAAGGCATAAAAGCAACCTCATATTTGATTCTAACTTACGGGGAAAACACCCCTGAATGCCATACTAAAAAAGTTCTATACTACTTACCAACAATGCTATTCCCACTGATTTTCTTTATATATATATATATATTTTTTTTTTTAATTAAATTATCTGTGTACATATTTTAACATTGCCCCCCCACACACATACCCTCCCTCTCCAGAGTTTTGTTGATTTTCTTTTTTAAATATATTTTTATTGATTTCAGAGAGGAAGACAGAGGGAGAGAGAGATAGAAACATCAATGATGAGAAAGAACCATTAATCGGCTGCCTTCTGCACACCCCCCACTGGGGATTGAGCCTGCAACCTGGGTATGTGCCCTGACTGGGAATCGAACCGTGACCTTCCTAGTTCATAGGTCAATGCTCAACCACTGAGCCACACCGCTGGGCTCCCCTGATTTTTTTTTTTTTTAATTAAAACAGATATCTCTAAATTGGGAATATATATATATATATATATATATATATATATATATATATATTTTTTTTTTTTTTTTTTTTTTTAAGGCATTAAATGAAACCAAAGAATTACTGCTCATTTTGATAGGTCTGATGACATTATGATCATATAAGAAAATGTCCAGATTGCCACTTCCAGCATGATGACATGAGGAGCTATGTGACTGTGCTCCCCAGGAAAACTGGTGGAAATTATGAAAGGACAACTATTTTAAAGTCTCTGGAAATGGTCTTGGGGGGCATACATCAAATGAAGACATATTTAGTCAAGAAAACTTATTAGAAGTCAGTAATAATAGTGAGCTTGTGGTAACTGAACTAGGATGTGCTCCTTCCCATTATTCTCTGCTCAGTAAGACAAAAACTCCACTCCAGACTGATACAGCCAAGAGCACTGGGCTCCTGCTAACCCACCTTCCTGAGGGCCAGCATTTATTTCCTGCCCCAGCTGCTTGTTGCTGGGACTCAGTCCTGAATGAGTAAAATTTAGGTGGGGTTCCTTTCTTCTGCCTAGCGCCTACTCATGGGTTAGAGGTCCTACCTTGGGCATGGCTTGTCTAAGAACACTGGAGCCTAGATCTGTCTTATCCCATCTCACAAGGTGTGGTTCCACACAGAGAAAGACCTCAAGTGCTCAGCCTGTAGAGCAGTCACTCAGAGAGAAGGTTCCATTGACCCCACCCACTCCCAGCAGCACCAGAGCCTGGACTCAAAGATTTTGCCTAGGGGAAGAAACAGTGATGAAGCAGATAACTGCCCATCTGCAACAGTTTGGAGGAGTTCTAGCTTAGGCATTCTCAAAACCACTTAAGATTGTGATGAAAGGCAGACGGGAAGAGATTGGTAGAGTCACTGGCCATACAGGCTAAACTGCAAGCAGGCTAACTTGCCATGGAGAACCAGAAAGATTGCTGAGAGGAGTCCTTCTGAGTCAGAACAAATTTAAAACACTATCTAAAAAATCATCCTAACTTCTAGTCTGGCCAACATGTAAAGAGCTTAGAAGTCATCCCACCTGCCCTCACCATCAGAAAATGAACAAAGTGAAAATCAACGACTCTTGTATCTATCAAACAGTTGAGGTTGCAGGGCAAACTGCAGCTCCCATCACTGGAGAGAGAGATGGATATCAAGAATCACATCTTACCGAGAGCAAAACCCAGGAGCAAGCTGCTAGAGTCAGTACCGGGGAGAGAAAACCAGGGACACTAGAGGAAATTTTAGCCTCTGACACCTACAGCTACAGCAAACCACAACACAGCCGAACTCTAACCTCACTCTAACAACCTATTTGCCACAATTCTTTTTTACCGGATATATCAAATGCAACTTTCAACAAAAATTGTAAGGCATACTAAAATGCAAAGTACAAAGTTTGAAGAGATCAAGTAAGTATCAGAACCAGATTCAGATATTTCGAAGATATTGACTTAGTTTGGAAATTTGGTGGTAATTTAGAATTTGGAATTTGATTGGGAACTTAACATAACTATGGTTAATATGCTAATAATGGAAGAAGTGGACAACATGCAAGAACAGATGGTTAATTAAGCAGAGATCAAAAAGAAATGCCTAAGAAAAAATCAAAAGGAAATACCAGAAATCAAAAGCAGCCTAACACAAATGAAGAATGTCTTGGGTAGCTCATCAGTATATTAGACATAGCCAAGGAAAGAATCACTGAGCTTGAAGATATGTCAACAGAAACTTCCCAAACTAGAAAGAGAGAGAGAGAGACAGAGAGAGAGAGAGAGAGAGAAGTAGAACTTCCCAAACTATAAAAGAAAAATAAAACAAAAACACCCATAGCACAGAATATCCAATAACTATGGGACAACTAGAAAAAATGTAATGTACACATAATATACATTATGCCAGAAGGAGAAGAAAGAGAAAACAAAACAGTAGAAACACTTGAAATAATGATGGCTGAGAAATTTACAAAATCAATGTTAGACACAGAACCACAAATTCAGGAAGTTTACAGAACAACAAGAAAAATAATAATAATAATAAAAACCCCTATACCTAGGTATATCATATGCTAACTGTAGAAAATAAAAAATAGGAGCTGGGGGAGGGAAGGAATGGGGGGAGAGCACTTTACTTATGATAAGAATTACATTGGACTTCTCTTTTAGAAACCATGCAAGCAAGTAGAGAATGGAGTGAAATACTAGTCCTTTAAGTGATAAAAGAAAAAAATCCACCAACCAAAAATTCTGTATCCCAAAAAATTATCCTTCAAAAATCAAGGAGAAATAAGAATTTCTCAAACAAAAATTGAGGAAATGTGCTGTAGACCTTGCAAGAAATTTTCAAAGAAGTTCTTCAGAGAGAAGAAAGATGATATGGGTTAGAAACTCAGACCTACAATGAGAAAGGAAAAGTGTTAGTGAAGAAAGAAATGAAGATAAAACAAAATCCTTTATTCTTCTTATTCTTAATAGATAACTTGTCAATAATAGATTATCACTTATAGACAAGTAAAATGGATGACAACAATATTATAAAAGGCAGTAGGAAAGAATTAGAAATACTCCATTATAAGGTATTTGCACTACCTATAAGAGGTACAGTGCTACATGAAAGAAATTAGATTAGTTGTAATGTATATTGCAAATTATAAGGCAACCACTAAAAATGTTTAAAAAGAAGTATAATTGATATGCTGAGTGGGAGGAAAATGAATCACATACTAGTAAAAGGCTCAATTAAAACAAAGGAAACATCTTACCTAATAAAAGAGAATCATGCAAATTAACCATTACCCACTATGTCCACAGCCAATCAGACTGAGTATGCAAATTAACCCAACAAAGATGGAGGTTAATTTGCATATGTAGGCACGGAGTGGCTGGGAGGGGTGGGATTCCTGCTATGAGGGGAAGGAGGGCAGTGGAAGGAGCTATAGGAGTGTTGCTTCAGACTTGCTGGCTCCCAGGTGGGCAAGGGGTGGTAAGGGTGGGGGTGTTGGGCGGAGTTCTCCAGACAGAAGTGAGGACTTGCTGGTTCCCGTGCAGGCTGGGAGCAGGGCCATGCTGGCTCCGGGGCAGCTGGGAGTGAAGCCAGAGGAAGGAAGGCCTATTCTTGCATGAATATCATGCAACGAGCCTCTAGTAAAAATAATAGAAGACAAAAAGGGAATAAGGAACAAAGGCAAGGACTAGAAAATAGTTACTAATATATGGTTAAGTATTAAACCAACTGTATCTATAATCCCTATAAATGTAAATGGTTTAAATACACATACTGAAAGAGCCTGCCAGGGTGGATTAAAAATTACAAGATCCAAATATAGGTTGGTTACAAAAAAAAAAAAACCCTACTTTGAATGTAAAGACACAGATAAAGTAAAAGTAAAGGGACAGGGAAAGATACATCATGTTGTGTAGCTATATTAATTTCAGACAAGGCAAACTTCAACAAGGAAAATTATTAGAGATAAAGACTGGCATTATATAATGGTAGAGCAGTTACTTTTCCAAGACATAAAAATCCTTAATATGTATCATCTAACAACAGAGTATCAAAATATGAGAGACAAAAGCTGATAGGACAAAAGGAGAAACAGACAAATCCACTATTATAGTTGGACATTTCAATACAACCTCTGTCAGCAACTAACAAATCCAGCAAGCAGAAAGTCAGTAATAATATACTTGAACTGAACAGTACCATCAATCAACTGTATCTAATTGACATGTACAGAATACTTTATCCAACAACAGCAGAATACACATCCTTCTCAAGCTCACATGAAAAAATTCACCAAGATAGACACAATCTGGGCCATAAAATACATCTTCACAAATTTAAAAGACTAGAAAATGATACAAATTATGCTTTCAGATCACAGTGGAATAAATTTAAAATCAGTAACAGAAAGATAGCTGGAAAAATCCCCAAATATTTGAACATTAAATACACTATTAATTAACAGGAGTAAAAGAAGAAATCTCAAGAGAAATTTTTAAGTATTTTGAACAAAGTTAAAACAAATACACAGAATACTGGCATTTGTGTATACACCAAAAACAATTCCTAGAGGGAAATATATAGCATTATGTGTGCAGGGAGGGGGCAAAAGTCGGTTTACAGTTGCTTGTATGGAAAATCATACAATAATGAATAAATAATACCAAATAAACACTGTTTCTCATACTCACAACTGTAAATGTACTGTTGCCCACCCCTGTATATCTGAGAAAAGGAGAGGAGCTTCTTGGCTGGTGAACATGTGGAGAGATTCAGGGAGCATGGGAGCTCCATGCCCCTTCCCACATCCCTTGTCCTAGGCATGTCTTCCATCTGGCTGTTCCTTTTATGATAAACTGGCAATCTACTAAAAAGCCAGTCACATGTGATTCAATGTATATGAAATAGGTGAAGCTATAAAAACAGGAAGTAGACTAGCAGTTACTTAGATCTGAGGCTGATGGAGGAATTGGAGTGATCGCTACAAAGCATACAGTTTCTTTTTGAGGTAATGAAGATGTTCTGAATTGAACAGTAGTGAGGGCTGCCTACATGAACCACCGATGGTTCATCACCTTCACAGTCATTAAATATGAATTTCAATGAACCAAAAACCATTGAACTGCATATTTTAACTGGGTAAATTGTATAGCATGTGAGTTATATTTTAATAAAGCAATTTAAAAAAGAAAATGCCCATATTTTTTAGAGAAGCAAACTTAATATAGCACGATGTTTAGAATATGCTTTAAAATTCTTAGCAAAGAGATAAAGGGACAGGATGGGGTAGTTAAAGCAAATGTGGCAAAATCGTTAGTAGCTTTTGAATCTAGGTAATGAGTGCTATGCTATTCTCTCCTTGAGCAAACTTGAGTACTTCCACAACAAAACATAGACAATCTCCTCTAAAGCAACATCTAATTATTAGGTACCTGGCTCTCCTGACTCTGATATCTTTTAAGCAGAATAAAATATTGCACAGTACTCTGAGAGCCATTTATCATTTTGCCTGCACTACAAAGTAATTTCACTTTAAATGGTAATTACAAAGATGAAGCCTGCAACTTCAGATGTAACAAGATTTTCAAATTACACCCATATTACCACTTTTTGGACACGTTTTTCCTAATGCAGGCATGTGGCTCTATAAAATTGTTAAAAATCAACCGTGAAGTGGATTACAGCAAAAAATTTCCCCAAAAAAGATACCTGCTGACACAGCACCGATAATTATCAAAATATATTCTTCCTCTCTCATAGGCTATAGGTGACTTGGAATGAGTAGTCCAAACATTCTTAAACTTAGTACTTTCCTGAAAGACACAAAGGATTTTGGTTTAGGAATTCTATAATAATAAAAGCGTAATATGCTAATTAAACTGGACAGCCAAAAGACCTTCTGGATGTCATGCCGTTAGTCCTTCCCAGCAGCGGGGCTGGACAGAGATGGTTAGGGGCCATCAGGCAGGCAGGCAGGCCAGCGGTTAGGAGCCAGCGGTCCTGGATTGTGAGAGGAATGTCCAACTGCCATATAGACCCAATCCCGGCAGTTGGACATCCCTGAGGGACCCCGGATTGCAAGGGTGCAGGCCAGGCTAAGGGATCCCCTCTCCTCCTCGCATTCACCTATTTCCTGCACCTGGCTTCTAGTAATTCATAAGCCTCTACTGTGCACCCATTTTATGATGGATAGTTAAATTTAGGGTTTTCAAATAAGTTTCACGTATGTAATTTAAAAACATTATGTTCAATTCTTCGTCACTCTGCCTCCCTCTCATGTTTTGGTTTCAGTGGGGTGACCAACTTTTCAAAAGATTGTTTGCAAGGAAGATATAAACAGCTTAGAAAAGTAAAAGCTTCTGGCGGTCCTATTAACACCTATTTACTAATCCTCCAGGTTCAGGGCATCCATGCCCCTCTCAAATACAAATAACCTTTTGAAAAGGGGGCTCTACCGCGTAAAGTCAGCACTCCAGAAGGCTTGAGCACCCCAGAAGGCTTAAGCACCCCGGAAGGCTGGAGCACCCCGGAAGGCTGGAGCACCAGGCGCCCGCAGCCCTCGGTCCCGCCCCCCGCAGGCGGTCACCTGGCACACCAACGCCCGCAGGATGCCCAGGTTCGTCCTTTGCACGGCGCCCGCGTCGCCGGAGAAGAAGCCCAGCGCCCGGCGGCTCAGCCGGCGGCACACGTTGGGCTTCCGGGTTGGGCCCATAGGGGCCGGAGAGGGGCGCGATCCAGACCTCGCGCGGAGCAACGGCCGCTCCGTCGGAACCTCGAGGCCCCAGCTCCCCGCGGGGACCAGAACAAACGAACACGGGGGCCGGGCTGCGGGGCGCACGGCAGGGCGGCTCGGGAGACACAGACGGCACCGCCTGGTCACCAAGAAGAGGGGAGGAAAAGACGCCCCCTTTACGGGCTGTCCCCCAAACACCCGCTGGTCCTTGCCCCGGCTGTGGCCTGCGTCGCCCCCAGAACACGCAGCCTGCAGGAGCCGCCGGTCCCTCCTCGGGAAATGTAGTCCCCGGTGTCTCCAAGGGAGCCGGGCTCGCTCCCAGAACTACAGTTCCCATTAGGCGCCAGGGCACCGGCTCCGGCCGCCGGTCCCGCCCCTCGCCCCTCGCCCCGCCCCCCCTATCCCCCGCGCCCCGCCCTGCATCTACGCCCCGCTCCGCGCCACGCCCCACGCCCGCCACGCCCCGCCCCTAGCCCCGCCCCCTCCCAGCTCCGCCCAATCGTCCGCCCCGCCCTTTCCCCAGCTCCGCCCAATCGCCCCGCCCCGCCCCCCGCCCTGCCCCGCCCCCTCTGACCTGGCGGAGCCTGCACCGTCCTGGCGGTGCGCCCTTCCGGTGCTCGCTGCGCGGCAGAGGACCCGGCGAGCTTGGTGCTGCAGCCTCCGTGTGCCCCGCTCCCAGGGACCCGTCCCTACCGCCCGGCACCGCCCCGCCTCTCGGCCCCTGACTTACGCTGTGGGAAGCACCGAGAGAGGCGCGGAGTCGAGAGCGCCCCCCAAAGCAGCGTCCAGCGCTCCAGGTACGCCCCGCGGCTTTCCCTTCAGGACCACGTGGGATGCTGTGGACGAGGCTCACGGTTAAACTTTGGGGTCTGTGGGTATGTGAGTTAGTGGTGGGAGATGCTCGGCTTTCCCTCTAAATTAGGGTTGAACTGCTCTTTCCCGAGACCCGCCCCTCTGCGGTGTGCGAGGACTCAGGCTGGTTTTGAGATAATTGCTGCATTTTCCTTCCCTGAGCCTCCTTCCCCCCCATAATGGGAATACAATGTGAAATGCTTACATTCTGATTGGGCTGCCTATGGTATTCCACGTTGACTCATCTAAATAAAACTAAATGACTATCGGTAGGCCTGCCCGCAGAGGCAAAGTCCCCCCTGCACTAAGTTTCCCCGAATCGTGCCCCGTGTGGAAGTCCCCTTGCTGAGTCCCTGCAGGGTGCTCTTTGCACCTCCCACGTGGGCTGGGCGCGCCACCTCTTGTCCGGTAAAGACTCGAGGGAGAGGTGGCATTTGACGGACAGCAAAAAGTGCAAAACTGAGTGGGCGTGTGAGTCACCAAGTGCTCAGTATAAATTTTAACCTTATCTCTTTTTTAAGCCTGCTGCATTTCCTCTAGGCGAGGGGCTGGGCTTTTGCTGATTTTTTTTCATAACTTAGGAAAAAAAAAATCAGCAAAAAGCATGCTGCGGAGCGCTTTGTGTATCTTTAGACAACACTATAAGAGTTAATTTGGTCATTTCATGAATGCAGCTGTCTCTGAGAACACTGGGACTCAGAAAAGATAACGGAATTTTTGGCTGAAATAAAATTCAAGTAATTGCGGAAGTGAACGCATCATCTCTTTTCTCTCTTCTTCCCCTTCGGCTACTTTTTTGTCTTCCTGTGTGGTATTTACCTCACCACCAAGAGACCGACAAGCCAGATGCCTTCTTTTTCTTCACCCACAACCAAGTCCTTTTGGTTCTAACTCTTGAGCATCTCCTCATCATATCCCCTAAGTAATGTAGGGTCTCCTCCATTTTATCATATTAAAAATTAACAGCTTCCTTTCTGCCTTAAATACTTTCAAGTCACCCCTCTACACTGCTGCCAGAGGGGGTTTTCTAAGTCACAAACCCGCCATTTCTCTATATCTCTGCGCGGCTGCCAATCACCCAGAGCAGAATTTCTCAAACCCAAGTAAATACTTAGGATTCTCTTGTTAAGTTACAATATTTTCAGGATGCTAAATATATGCAAATATAAAACTATATAAATTTCTTATGTTGTATTTTTTATGCAACTATAACTTATAAACGGTTTAAGTTAAATTAAGCAAAACTATAAAACAACAAATTCAAATGAATACTTATACATTGTTTCCAATGAGCTTTTTGCCAGGCCAGTCATCATTTCTCTTGCACTTCAGTGTTTCTCCCTCTCCTTTACTCTCTAAAAATCAATAGAGACATATTAAAAATAAAATAAAATGCAGAAAGAGTTAGGATTAAAGGGTTCATAGTAATGTTTTTAAAAAGTATATTAGTTATTCAAAGACTATGTATGGATAACAGCATAACATGTAAATAATAATTATAAGTTGAATACTCATATATCTATCATCAACTTAAAAAACACACACAAAATAACCTAGAACATTACTTAAAAACTTGACATGTCCTATGTGCCCTTCCTGGTTCCTAGCTCCCTTTTTCCTCTTTATTTAGATAAGATATTGTTATTTTTAATGTTTTTTGAACATTATATAAATTGAATCATACTGTATATATGTACTCTTCTATAAATTGCCTAGTTTTTCCAACATTACATTTGACAAGGTACCTGATTTCATTTATTTTTACTACTGAATAATGTTTTATTGTGTGAATTTGCCATAGTTACCCATTTGCTACTGGCCGGACTTCAGTGTCTTTCAGGATTTTTTATTCCTAGAAAAGTGCTGCTATAGGCATTCATAAACCTGCCTCCTGTTACACTTGTTCAAGTATATGTTTGTTTTTTCTTGCTATGTAACAAATTACCAAAAACGAAGCAGCTTAAACCAATACCATTTATTATCCCTCATTTTTTTTTTTTTCCTACATGAAAAACCACTTGTCCCTGCACCACCATTGCAGTGTCGGTCATTTCTCCACAGACCTGTAATGTTAACCCTTGTTTTATATCAAGTTTACATTCATGGTCAGGTCTGTTTTCTAAGCTCTGTTTTCTCTTCCATTGTTCTGTTTTTCTATCCCTAGCCTAATACCTAACCAATTTATTATTTTTATTTTTATTTTTTCTCATTTTTTATTAAGATATTATATGTGTACATATCTTACCGTTGCCCCCCACCCCACCCTACTCCCATACCTGCCCTCACCCCCCAGTGTTTTGTATCCCTTGAATACCTGACCAATTTAATAGTAAGGGTTGAGAGCTGGTAGGGCAAGTCCTGTATTTATTCCTTTTCTTCAGGAGTATCTTTTGTTTTTGCAGTTCGCACTTTCATATATGTGTATTTTAATTTCAGAAAGGAAGGGAGAAAGAGAGAGAGAAACATCAATGATGGGAGAGAATCATTGATCGGCTGCCTCCTGCACACTCCCCACTGGGATCGAGCCCACAACCAGGGCATTGCCCTAATGGGGAATCAAACTTTTACCTCCTGATGCTCAACCACTGAGCCACACCGGCCAGGCTCATATATCTTTTTGAACCTGCGAAAGTACTACCAAAAAAACCTACTGGAATTTTGATTGGTATAGCATTAAATCTGTATATATCAATTTGGAGAGAACTGGCATCTTTACCATATCAAATTATCCTATCTATGAAGACAGTGTGTCTCTCCATTTATTTTAGTGTCTTTCAATGAAGTTTAATAGTTTTTCTAATAGAGTTCATAATTTGCAACTTCCTCAGTACATTGTTATATTTTGGCCAGAATTATAAATGGTATATTTTTACAGAGAGAAAGAAAGAGGGATAGAGAGTTAGAAACATCGATGAGAGAGAGTCATCGATCAGCTGCCTCTTGCACACCCCCTACTGGGGATATGCCCGCAACCAAGGTACATGCCCTAGACCGGAATCGAACCCGGGACCTTTCAGTCCCCAAGCCGACGCTCTATCCATTGAGCCAAACCGGTCTCGGCAAATGGTATATTTTTAAATTAGATTTTTTAACTATATTTTTTTGCTAGTATATAAAAAAAGCAGGTGTGGGGTTTTTTTTGTGTGTGATTTTTTTTTTTCTTTTGTATATTGGTCTTCTCTTTAGCAACCTTGCTAAATTTTATTTTTAATAGTGATAATTGTCATTTGTAGGGTTTGGGGGATTTTTCTATGTAGGTAATCATGTCCTTAGAAAACTGTGCCTGTTTTGTTATTTCTTTCTCAGTTCTTACTTTTTATTCCTCTCTTTCTTCCATTGCAAGCCAGGACCTCTCGTGCAGTTGAATAGAACCAGTGATAGTGGACATTCTTATGTGGCCTGATTGGAAGTTGAACCATCTTATACACTTTTATAAACTTCTCATAGTTCACCATTAAGGACGACATTGTCGGTTTTTGATAGCCACTCTTTATCAGGTTAATGAAATTCTCTTCCATCCCATATTTGCTAAAAGTCTTATTAGATTTTTAATTGTGAATGAGTGTTGAATTTAATCAGCTACTTTCTCTATTTGCTGAGGTGATCCTATAATTGTTTTTCTTTAATCTGATAATTTGGTGAATTTCTGATAATTTTCTAGTGCTAAAACAAACGAGTTAATTTAGAGAAGTTGTGATGTGTTTGTTTTTCATACATTGTGGGATTTGGGCAGCTGCTGACTTCGTTTCTCACTCAGCTTTCTGGACGTTCGCTAGCTTTTGGTCTCCAAAGATTTCTTGTTCCTTCTTGCTGACTCAGTGACGCAGTTAACAAGATATATTTTTAAATATATTTAACCAGCCTCTTGTATTTCATAGTAGAAAGGTTTTTTGAATATGAGGTTCACCAAATGATCAGTACTAGAATTCTACTTTCTTATATTTTTAGTGTAAAAGTTTCCAACCATCATTTCTTTATTTTATTTATTATTTTTTTTATTGTAAAAGTTTTACATATGTCTCCTTTTCCGCCAATTGACCCCTCTCCCAGCCATTCTCACCCTGGGCAAGCCCCCACCGCCCGAGTGTCTGTGTCCATTGGTTTTGCTAATATGCATGCATATAATT